ATCAATTACCGGAACGTGGTGGGGAGCCCATCCACAAGATCTTCTGACGTTGTACCGGACAACGATTTTATCGGTTTTAGAGTACGGTAGTTTTTGCTTCCAGTCGGCAGCTAAAACGCACATCATCAAGCTGGAACGGATCCAGTATCGTTGTCTTCGTATCGCGTTAGGATGCATGCACTCGACTCATACTATGAGTCTCGAAGTGCTGGCGGGCATGTTGCCACTATCCGTCCGTTTTTCAGAGTTATCTCTGAGGCTCCTCACCCGTTGCGAAGTAATGAACCCACTGGTGATCGAAAATTTTGAGAAGCTTCTGGAGCTAAATCCTCAAACATGTTTTATGACTTTATACTACCTATATTTAACACAGGATGTCAGCCCTTCAAGAAATATTCCCAATCGTGTAATCTTCTCCGATTTCGGCAATTCAGTGAATTTTGATTTATCTATGACACAGGAAATCCGCGGAATTCCAGAGCATCATCGTCCTATGATTGCTCCGTCATTATACGCTGCAAAGTTTGGCCATATTGATTCTGCAAGAACGTTTTTCACAGATGGATCTCTAATAGAGGAGTCCGCTGGTTTTGGTGTATTTAATGAATTTCATAGCGCCTCTCGAAAACTTGAAGCTCCTTGTTCTGTGTATGTGGCTGAACTGGCAGCAATTCACTACACTTTGGAAACTATTGCTTCACTTCTTCCAGCCCACTACTTTATTTTTACGGATAGTCTCAGTTCTGTCGAGGCTATCCGTTCCATTAGGCCGGTAAAGCACTTCTCGTATTTTCTCTTGAAAATACGAGAACTGCTTAGTACTTTATCCGTGCGCTCTTTCATCATCACCTTCGCGTGGGTCCCTTCGCATTGCTCAATTTTGGGCAATGAGAAGGCGGATTCACTTGCGAGGGTGGGCGCTATGGAAGGCGACATTTATGATCGACAGATCGCCTATAGTGAATTTTTCTCTATTTATCGTCAGCAGTCGCTCGTTAGCTGGCAACATCAATGGAGTGAAGGGAGCTTGGGACGATGGCTACATTCAATTATCCCTAAGGTGTCGAAGTTTGCATGGTTCAAAGGGTTGGACTTGAGTCGAGACTTCATACGCGTGATGTCTCGTCTCATGTCCAATCACTATTGTCTAAACGCTCACTTGTTCCGTGTGGGGTTGGGAGACAGCAATCTCTGTGAATGTGGACAAGGTTACCAGGACGCTGATCACATCCTTTGGTCTTGTGCGGAGTATCGTGGAGTCAGATCACATTTTTATGATTCCCTTCGGGCTCGAGGTAGACAACCTAATGTTCCAGTTCGGGATATTTTGGCTAGACGCGATCTGGAGTTTATGAAACTCATATATGTTTACTTTAAGGATATTAACCTTAGATTGTAAGTTTGATTAACCTTGTGTTTAGTTTGTATTTTGTACGTGTGGGTTTTTTTTTTTCAATGTTTGTTTTCAAGATGAATAGAAATAATTTCATGCTTTAGGATTAATTAAATAGTTGTATCGTAAACCACATTTCAAACCTCCTTCTTCCCTTTTCCCATCCAAAAAATTGTAAATCTCCACTAACCTCGAGACAACCGCGAGTACTCGGTCCAGTTCCTTTAACTTTAAATTTAAGACAGTAATAATGTATAACGCAAAGGATAACTCGGCTCTGTAAAGTTTATTCGATTGAGCCTGTACAAATAAAGTAATTATAAAAAAAAAAAAAAAAAAAAAAAGATGCGACGCGAACACTGGCGCGGTAACCATAGTACGGTGATAGAGGAAATGCTTCACCAAACCCGAGCGTCTGTTCACCATGGAGGTGCGGCTCAAAACGGTGTCTGTTCTCCATGTTAGGATTGGCTGATCACCGTCCTAGTGCCAGCGTGGGACTCTAAACAGAGCTGTGCACGATGGTCCCCCGGCGAGACAGGGGGTTACGGCAGGCCCAACAAGCCGCCCTGCAAAAACATAAAGTTGCAAATACTGAAGAAAGAAATACGGATCGGAACAATCGGCACAGACCTACGCGGCGAAATAAGGACTACAATTGGAAACTCGGAACATGGAACTGCAAACCGCTCGTCTTCCCGGGCTGCGATAGGTTAATCTATGACGAACTTCAACCACGCAACTTCGAAGTCGTAGCACTTCAGGAACTTTGCTGGACGGGACAAAAGGTATGGAAAAGCGGGCATCGAGCGGCTACTTTCTACCAGAGCTGTGGCACCACCAACGAGCTGGGAACCGGCTTTGTAGTGCTGGGTAAGATGCGCCAACGCGTGATTGGGAGGAGTGGATGGAAGGTGTCGTATGCCCAATCTACAGAAAGGGCGACAAGTTGGATTACTGCAACTATCGCACGATCACACTGCTGAGCGGCGCCTACAAGGTACTCTCCCAAATTCTATGCCGCCGCCTGTCACCATTTGCAAGAGAGTTCGTGGGGCAATACCAGGCGGGATTCATGGGTGCCCGCGCTACCACGGACCAAATTTTCGCGATTCGGCAGGTTCTGCAGAAATGCCGCGAATACAACGTGCCCACACATCATTTCCAGAACAACATGTGAAAAGGGCATACAAGCTTTTTGTAAACAAACCTTTGTAGGCCTTTTTCTCAGCAACCGAGGGTCGCCCACGCAAACCAGCAATATCATCGGGAAGGGGAAAGTGTCCCCTACCCGGTGATGTTAAAGGTTTGCGTTGGTGTCATATGGGTGGCGAGAAAAGGGCATAAGAAGGTTTGTTTACAAAAAGCTTGTATGCCCTTTTCACATGTTGTTCTGGATTTGTTCATCGATTTCAAATTCGCATACGACACAATCGATCGAGATCAGCTATGGCAGATTATGCACGAGTACGGATTTCCGGATAAACTGACGCGATTGGTCAAGGCGACGATGGATCGAGTGATGTGCGTTGTTCGAGTATCGGGGACACTCTCGAGTCCCTTTGAATCTCGAAGGGGGTTACGGCAAGGTGATGGACTTTCGTGTCTGCTATTCAACATCGCGTTAGAATGTATGATCAGAAGAGCTGGGATTGACATGAGTGGCACGATCTTCAGGAAGTCCATCCAGCTTCTGGGCTTCGCCGATGACATTGACATCATGGCACGGAACTTTGAGACGATGGCGGAAACGTACATCAGACTGAAGGCTGAAGCTAGGCGGATTGGACTAGCCATCAACGCATCAAAGACAAAATACATGAAAGGAAGAGGTTCTAGGTAATACAATGTTAGCCTCCCACCCCGAGTTCAGATTGACGGTGACGAAATCGAGGTGGTCGATGAGTTCGTGTATTTGGGCTCACTGGTGACCGCCGAAAATGATACCAGCAGAGAAATTCAAAGACGTATTATGGCAGGGAATCGTGCCTACTTTGGACTCCGGAGGACGCTCCGGCCGCCGCACGAAGTTGTATGTCTACAAGACGCTGATTAGACCGGTGGTCCTCTACGGCCACGAGACCTGGACTATGCTCGTGGAGGACTAACGCGCCCTTGGTGTTTTCGAACGGAAGGTGTTGCGTACCATCTACGGTGGAGTGCAGATGGATGACGGAACGTGGAGGAGGCGAATGAACCACGAATTGCACCAGCTGCTGGGAGAACCTGCCATCGTCCACATTGCAAAAATTGGGTGACTACGGTGGGCTGGGCACGTCGTAAGAATGCCGTACGACGACCCAGTAAAAATGGTTCTAGAAAGCGACCCAACAGGAACAAGAAGAAGAGGCGCGCAACGGGCAAGGTGGATCGACCAAGTAGAAGGTGACCTGCGGACCCTTCGCAGACTACGAGGCTGGCGAAGTGTGGCCATGGCTCGAGTAGAGTGGAGACGACTTCTTCGGACATCAGAGGACAATAAGGCCTTAGTCTGATTGGTAAGGTAAGTTGTTATGTATTGAATAATATTTTAAAATTCAATAGTTAGATTGAGCAAACAATAACAGCTGTGCTGGCATGGTTAACACACAAAAGCCTATGTTTAAATATAAGCATTAATTGATTTCAGTCAATTTAAAACGCATGGCCCTTTTTGCCCCATTGCATTTTCAAAATAAGATTTTAGAAGACATTTTGAAAACATCGCAAACAACTTTTGACGAAATTTAATTTGCATTACAGTGATGATTTATAAAGGCAATGTTATGAACTTGCAATACAAAGTGCAAACTCCTATAAATATCCACTATTTGGAACATATATTTAGAACTACAATTGTTAAGGTGGCACTCTTGCCCCACCATACCCTATTTCAACAAGAGGTACAATCAAAGTTTGCCAAGTGAAGAATTGTAAATCTAATATCCTTCAACTGGAATTCCACTAAATGAAACAAGTTTAAAATGTCACAAAAAACTTGCCATTGATGCACTTCAAATGAATTTAACAACTAGTTCTATATAAAAAAATGCATATAACTAAGCGGATGTCGTAGATTGTAATATTTTTCATTAACCGAACGAAACATGTTTATGAGAGGTTCATACATTTTCGGCCTTTTGTGTTTCGACCATCTGTTCCTATCCCAAATTTTCAACCTGGTGTTGGTATTTTGTGTTAATAAACTAAAATAATATAAATCTATAAAAATCAAAAAATGATTTGCGACGTATGAGATTTTTGCGCTAAAGGGTCTAACTCAAAAATACACCCAACGCCTTTTTTAATTTGATCCGGAGAAGCAGGATGGTCCAAACAATTGATTGGTATAATTAGTATATATTAGTAGAATTTTATTTGTATGTTCTAATGTACGCTAGAGAATTTCACTCGAACCGGACAGATGGTTCCGGAGATATAACCAAAAAGACAACTGAAATTTGTCTGCCTTCTATATACTAATTTTTACGAAAAGAGCACGTCAAAGGATTTAATTGTTTTCCTTCTTGTTTTTTTTTTTATTTTTAAAGCATACCTAATAGTTTGAGGAGGAGTTGACCAGTTGAAATCGTGAAGTCATAAAAAGGAGGAAGCTTATTTCACTTACCGGATTGGTTGCTGGTGCTTGCAGTGGTGAAGTTGAGTCCTTCTTCTTTTTCTTTGGTGGACGACCAGATTCTGGAAGAAAAATATCAACCGGGTAATTTTAAACTTTTTTTTTCCAACACTCATCAATCGCTTCTGATAAGAGATTTCACGGTATAAATACCTTAACCACTAGAATCCTTCAACTCGTTCAACAAATTTTCCCCATAGCGCATAACTTCAACCACCACTGTGTAGGACAAATTCATAACTAAAACCGTGTCGATGACAGCCAGCAAAACCGAGAAGAGTAAACCTGATAGCGTACGGTAACCAAGCCAATCAGTTCAGTAGAGATTTCTCTGGTCTTCCGCGGAATAAAGAACATGCAAATCGTTTAAGATTAAAACATATTATTCGTTTTTATTTGTTATATATTTTCTGTACCTTTGTTGCTGTAGTTGTTATAGTAGATTTTGTTTAATTTTGTAATAAACTTCAATAATGCTTACGATTACTTGCTGTTTCTTTTTTTTATGGGTATGTTAATAATTCTTCTTTTTGCGTCCGTAATCAAAGTCGTTTGTGTAAAATTGTATTCCACTAACTTGCAATTTATTTCTAACCATCATTTGCTTTCATCAAATGGTTCCTTCATTTGTAGTGTATCTGTATTTTTTTTTTGTTATCAACACATAGATTTTATGATGATTCTTATTTGATTAGCTGATGCTTGAAACGTGACTCTGCTTCCTGTGTTTTCACTATATTTCTTTTAAGTTTAATCATCTTCGTTTAAATAAGAGAACTTCTTAGCCACTAGTTGAAAAGAAAACAAACGGAAGAATACACTTACGTAAATTAATAGGGTTTTCGTTATCATTTATTGAATCAATTTGTATGTTTGTTTAAGTTTCCTTTTGTTGAACATTACACTTTTGTATTCACTCACGCATCTTACATCATGTTTCCGTTAATTTTCAGCTTAAATATTGGAAGGATCGTCTTTATTCCAAAATTGACGACCTTCATTTTTTTTATTTCCAGAGTTACGTACACTTGCTTTAGAGTGTGACTTACGCTGGAAAACAGCATTACGAGCAATGGATTGTGGTACTTAACTCCATCGATAGTAGCAATTGAAGCTGAATATAAGAATCCGCTTTTCGTTTGTGGAGATCCCTACTTCTATAGTTTCCAATCAATAAAAATCTTAACGAATATATTCACGATAAACTCTGCTATACTAGCGTAGAATATTAGTACCAGGAAGAAAATAATCGATAAATATACGCATTTAAATGGACTTTCTCTATCTACTGCTGTCGCCTAATATGAATAAAGCAAAATATATACTCGGGCGAAAAAAAACCAAATCTTGCACTAATGCGATTGTTGACTGTCTTATGCTTTGTTTTGCTACTCTTAATCCCTTCCCAGTAATTAATGAAAACAAACGGAAAGTAAATGAAAAATGTAAAGTTTTGTAAACGAAAACTATTGCTGTCAATCATTTCGTTTGGAATATTCCTTTTCAAGGAAGACGAAATCCTTTATTTACACTGTTTATCTGTTTAAAATAACAAAACAAGGAATAAAACTTTTTTCACGTGCAAACAATGTGTAAGGGGTTTGGCGCCGCCGACAGCCGAATAAATAAATCGAATTGCACTTTTCCATTACTGTCGCAATGTATCATCTACCAGTTTCGAAAATACTGACTTATGCAACCAGTTCTTACTGTGATATTCGTTAGTCGAATTCACTCTCTTACGCGCGTGAAAGAATCATCTTTTCATAACAAAGCTCGTATTACACCACAGTACAATCAAGTATACTAGGATTTACTGTTAAATTACCGTTTACATCCGTTACAATCGATACTGGCCCAGATAAGAACTGAACGCTAGTTTTGGTTACCAAACTTCAATAATTTCCTCCGATAATCATACTTTGATACAGTTAGAGATTGCTTTACACATTGTCTGCGGTTTTCTAGTTTAATACATAAACAGTATCACTTATGCTCCAGTCGTTCGATCGACCCAAAACTTAATAGAAGAATGAGAAGGAAAATCAACAAAATATAGGTCTCAATTGCATCTGCTACATGCGCTGGGGAGTAATTGGATTTCGATGATGTTGAAAGAAAGCTCAGTGTTTCAGTACATCTAACAAATGTTGTTCCCTTTCGTTTAATGGCTAAGAAGTATTTCTCGCAGATTACACTTTCGTTGTAATACGGACTCCATTATTGTTGAAAAGGATGACAATCCTATCTAAGAGATACATGATCGTGAACAAAGCAAAATGGATAATCAAAACATACCTCTTGTAATCGGTCGCTAGTATTTCGCTTGCTATTTATGTGTTTTTAGTTTGATATACGGATTGCTGTTATAGGCTGATAATTTGTTTGACATTTTTGTTTTTTTTTTTTTTTTGCTAGAAACGCGTGCATTTCGGTTTTGTTGGCTGTCCCCAGTTACACATTTGCTATACACGAGAAAATTTGCTGAAGGAGTGAGATTGAAACTCGTTTCATCAGAATCAACTAATGAGGAAACACAGAAATCAAAGAAAACACAACATATGATGATTGACATGAACGAAATGATCATAACTGCAACAACGGAAAAAAAAGTTGACGTCGTTTATGAAGAACGTCAAGTTACGTTTATGGAAAGGATAAAATAGATAGTTAAGTGCCAGAAAATTTGCTGATTCATTGTTTAGCAAATTGTACGTTTCACTTCGAAGATGAGGTTTGAAATTCTTACTACATTTCCGACACGATTATAACTATTTGTTTCACTTTCAATGAATGCAGGCCAATAGTGAATTTTTTGCCGTTTTCACTTTCTTCTGACTGTATATAACAATCAACATGGTTTTTAGTCTAGGTCTTCCTAATCCTATCGATTTTATCATTCACTACAAATATATAAATAGAAATTTACACTTACGCTGTACAATTTTATGGTTTGTAGTAGAAAAATAAAAAGAAAACACTTATAACGAACAAAAATTGAGAATGCGCTGCGCTGTAACCAGTAGCATTTGTCGCGCCGTATTTTGATCTTCTGTTGAATATTGTTACACATCAAAACTAGTTGACTAAACGAACTTTTTGTTTTTTGTTTTTTCAATCATGTTTGATGCTGACAAATCGATTGAGGAAAAGTTTTCGTTTTGATCAACGGATATTTGCACGACACCGAGTTGTGGCATTCAGGTAGTATAAACTCGTGTAGACCTTCACTGTAGGAAACTAAATTTAATCATATCGTTCGATCTATTTGACGTAAACTAATAATACAGTTAGTGGTGCGTGTTACTACATAATAAAACCTTCCTTTTTAGTAGTAGGTAGTAGTAGCAATTGTTGCTGATTGAACATAGTACGACATATAGAAATGCTTCTTTACTCTTTCATGACATTTCCCGGCTCGATTTGAGATTCGAATTGAAGCACAGTGAAATTGCCAAAACCGATGTTTTTTTTTCCATCACACCAACATCGTTTATAGCTTTAGTTCAAGCGGGCAAAGAAATCTTGGTAGCACAATTAAAAGATAAACTAAACTCATCTGAACAAAACTGCATTTAACTGCCTGCTTACTGCTGCAGAAGTCTTCCGATCTCATGACGAAAATATAGAAAGAATTTGAATGTACGCATAGAGAGAAAGTGAAAACAATTTTTCTTTTGCACTTTTCTGGCTGTATGGGGCTTACTTAATCCGGCAAATTCTATTTATTTGTATCTTGCATTTCACTACTGTGTGTTAATTATTGATTATCAAAGATTGATCATCATATTCAAGGACTATCGCTCATCATATCTATGTGTTTTAAAACCTAGCTTGCACCAGTTCCCTAGATGCTGAGTTTTTCTTTCGAGCAACTACAAAAAAATCATTGTACTGAAGCAGAAGCGTGAAATTACGTTCCTGTTCAGTTGATGGCAAATACAAAGAAAGTGATGAAAAATATACACATCAATGAAGCAGAGCAAATTGGGCGGTTTGTTTGTTTTCTATTTACATCTATCAATAGAAATTCGTCCCATCTGCCAACGTATTTTTTCATGATTGAAAACATATCAATAAGTGCTGGTTGAAATGAAAGCTAGAAACCAAAGCTCTAGAATCTCTGGTATTCTCTGTCAGTTGCAGCTCCTGCTGACGGTTCATTTTCAGTGCTAATAATTCGTTCTTACTCATGGCCCACACCATCTATTTGTCCCTCAATATAACATTACACTAAAACGCAGTTTGCTTCAACTAATACAAAACAATTGTATCCTAACCTGCTTCACTGTCGCTGGAATCACTCGAACTGGAATCGCTGGAACTGGACGATGACGAGTCGCTAGAACTACTGCTCGATGAAATGTTTCCACCTGAAGGTGCTACGTCCTGCTTCGCTGCCTCATCAGCTGTAACGAGAAAGTAAACAATACATTAGGCTCACGAACGACAACCTTTGGAGCCAACTAGAACCGGTGATCGAAAAAAGAGGGAAATTCTCATTCGGGAATACTACCGACAATACCCGAACTTCTACTCTGCCGTCGAGAACTTACCGGAATATTATAGCCCACAATGTACCACATACCAGAAAATAATTAACAGAAATGCATAATTTTGCTTATTTAAAAAAAAAAACGGGTTGAAAACGGTGCAATTCTTGAAAATTTTAATAACCAACCCCTGAACCGTATGTTCAAAAACCCTGCACATAACTGCAAATCATTCTTATATATAAAAAAAAACCCGAAATTGAAACGGCGTTCAAAGATTTGACAAGTTTCCACGTTTGTTTACACATTTTTCGGAGCCAAATGTATCATGCACATCAGTTCTTATGAGAATTCAAAAATAAGATCAATGGGAATCATAATGAGTACACAGGGCCCCATTGGCCCCACCCCGAGTTATTCCGGTACTCCCGGGCTCCCTAGTCGCCGGAGGACCATCAAGGGCGATGATCAGCCGCCCCTAACATGGGGGGGGGGGAATAGACTGGCATCGATCGTCCACCGACGAGATAACCATTAGCCGTGATGCGAAGTTCATCGAGATGGAAGAAATTATGGACAACCACTTCAACGATCCGCAATCATCTGAAATTGTAGAGTACGAGTCTGAAGTCACCTCGTTCAATTCACACCCCAAAAAAAGATTTTCTTGATTCCGAAGACGCCAATGAAACCCTGTTTAAGGAGGAGCTTGTGGGTTCAGATTATAGTATGTACAATACCTCAAACGAAGAAGAAACCGACGATAACGAATCAGCCACACCAATTCAATGATCATCCCGTAGCACAAAGGCTGTCTCACCCCAACGCTTCCGAAAAACAACTGAGATGATGAGCCAAAGACGTACAACGAAGCCATGAAGGGTCCCGAATCCAAACTGTGGAAGGCAGCTATGGATGACGAGAATAAATGTCGTACATCACGACATCGGTAATGGCACAAGACTTCACTCGAATAGACTATGATGGAATGTTTGCGCCCATGGTACATCCAGTAAAGTTTCGAGTATTGGTAACAATTGCCAGCCAGCGCAGGATTCTGGACCGCCTGCCGGAACGGCGAATTGGAGGAGTTAATTTTCATGCAGCAACCGCCTGTGTATGAAGTTTGGCATTAGAAGGTCGATCTAATCTTGAAGGAGATATTTTTCTATGAGTCTGAATGTAATTTTATAAGGAACTCTCAGAATCACAAAAAAAAACTTTGGGACCATCCCTTCTTCTTCCTCTAATTGTTAAATCACGTTTAATATTAAACCATATCATATGCACCTGATGGAAGTTGATCGAAAATAAATAAATAAAAGGAAGATCCTGGAGCGGTGTTTGTCGGGAGCTGTGTTAGCTCATCGGCAACGAAAAACCCAAGGTGATCGCGATGGTGTGAATCTAGCAGGCCAACGTCCGGCGGCTTATAGTGATACTGAGAAATGCCGGAGTGTTGCATTCGATGCATATCTTTCCGACGGCTGGCAAGGGGTAGCGGTTTTCCTTAGTCAGGTCAAAGAGACTTTTTTGAATATCAACCGCATTCGGGTGAGATAATTCCTTTTTATTTATTTAGTTCGTAATATTATGATTCATATTAATTTCATCAATACAGTAATAAGAAAATAAATTGAGGAACTCGGTTAGCTTAGCAGCTGCCGCTTTTGCTTACTGAGCATAAGATCGTGTGTTTACTCTCAAGTTCCTCCAAGTTCCAGTTTTTGGTCGTATCGCCAGCTTGAGACGAATCCTGACCTAATACCCTACCCAATTATTCAACTCCATAGTACGTATGAGGGTGTCGCTAAGTCGGTGGCCTTCCGTTGAGTAAGTACTACATCAACATTTCCTACCCTATCCCTAGTTACGGTAAAAATGGATTGATTATTCCTGAAAGCAGTTTGACTGAGAATTTCAAAAGAGACGTGAGTGTCACTAGTATCCAATCTACGAAGTATACCGCAAGAACATTAACGCTATTTGTAGATCATTACGCCCCATAGGGGTCCTCTAAAATATGGTAGCGTTGTCCACCAATCTGAAAATTGTATTTTAAAACGTTTAACTCAACTAATTTCGCACTTTTAATCGTCAGGTCATAAACGAAAAGGATCATATTGAAGTATAGAAGCCTAAAATTTTTGAATTGTGTTGCATTACCCAACCTCCCCAACGATAAACATGAACATGGTGAAGAAAAATTATTCTTCCCTTTTTTCTTAGTGAACAGTTTGTATTCGTATTTCAGGGGAAACAAAGGGCAGAAGGGCGATGGCCCTCAAAACGCAAGTAATGACTTTGATCGTCAATTAATTACACCATCTGATAGAGCGGGCCTCCCTTAGCTCAGTCGGTAAAGGCACAGCTACAAAGCAAGACAATCATGCTGGAGGTGTGGGTTTGATTCCCGGTCCGGTCTAGGGAAACTTTCTCGACTCCCTGGGCATATTAGAGTATTATTGTACTTGTCACACAATTATACTAATGCAAAAATGGTACAGGCATCGAAAGCTCTCAATTAATAACTGTGGAAGTGCATCTAGAACACTAAGTTGAGAGAGCACGGGCAATAAGCTAATAATGCGATACGCCATAAACTTGAAAGGCGAGGAATAATAATATAGAGAAAAGAGTTGGTTGGAAATGCTAACATGAAGCTTTAGTGTGATAATTTATTAGCTAGAGAATGATCTTTAGAAGAGAGTAGGTGGATAGTTCCGTTAGAGTACGGCAGTATGAAAATTGATTGGAAGTTGAAAATAAGCGAAGGGCCATTAATGCGACAGTTTTTAAAGTTAGACGCACATCTTTTGCCTAACCCGTACGATGTACGCATATACGACATACTTCAAGTCTCCGCGTATATCGTACGGGTTAGGCAAAAGATGTGCGTCTAACTTTAAAAACTGTCGCATTAATGGCCCTTCTCTCATTTTCAACTTCTATTCAATTTTCATACTGCCGTACTCTAACGGAACTATCCACCTACTCTCTTCTAAAGATCATTCTCTAGCTAATAAATTATCACACTAAAGCTTCATGTTAGCATTTCCAACCAACTCTGAAAATCGCTAACTTCGCGTATGAAGTAACATAAAAAACTTTGAATATAGAGCAAAGTTTGGTAGACTTCGAGTATATAATATTCTAACGACTTGGATTTTTTTTTCTTCAAAATTATGATTTCTTCCCTTAAAGTTACATCATTTTGGCATCATTTTCCCTCAGATGATCCATTGATAACGAAATTTTTCCTCAATTTTGTGGGTTATCTCCTCGTTTGAGTTGATAAACGTCAAAAGGCGATAGATTCGTACCTATGGGTCTAATAACAGAGCAATACTTACCCTTTTTCGCATTTTTCTTGGCCGTTCCCAGCTGACCGGTAACGTCCTGCAACCGTTTCTCAAGCTCCTGCTTCTTTTCAGCCATTTGTTCATCTTTCGATTTTCCGGATACTTTTTTATCTGTGAAATGTACGAACAAATCGAGCGGGAAATGTTAGTTTCGTTACACATTATATCGGTTCTGCGATAAATGAGAAATGATGTGTAACAAACGACTAGGTAGTATGCCAATTTTGACAATTTATACTAAAATATGCAGAGAAGGGTTAGAAACGAATTGAATCGGTTTAATGCAGTACAATTTCTTCCAATTAACAGACACTACTGAAGTTGTACGTAAACGGGATCAAGTAGCAAATTGATAAGAGGACTTCGTAACTGAAATCCCCGCAGCAATAGTAGTGCCAAAAAATTAATGTGTGGCACATTCGGTACGATTAGAAGGACCATTAGGAAGGTGAAAAGTGTAGATGGATACAGTTCAATGGTAGTGAATGAGAATGTTATCTCGGCAGCAGTGTTTGTTAAATTGGAAACTTACAGTAAGGCTTACGGGTTTTCTTGCGTAAACAGGAGGCAACGTAGTTTTCTAATTCTCGCAACGTTGATGGCTTGAGAGTTTCGAAGTCGATCTCGATTTCGTCCGGATTAGAGTCACGCAGCGATGGTTCTCGGCTTTGAATAATATGTACAACGCGACCGAGCTTATCACCTAAGGACGGAAACATACGTTAACATTTGCATTTGCTGTGTATCTTTCAGAACGGCTGGGGAACTTGTTAACTTACCTGGTAATTTATTTATATCGAGCGATAATTGTCTTTTCTCGTCGTATGACATTGGCTTAGCAGTGTCTTCCTCTTCTGAGTCAAAGTGTGCAACATTTTGAGAACCTTTCTTTTTGTTAGGACCTCGTGTTGCACCGGTTCCAGCAGCACCAGCTCCTTTAGCGCGCTTAGCAGGTGCGTTCGGAGTGGCACCCGCTTTCGGTGCTCGCTGGCTTTTCGTTTTTGTTTTGGTAGTTACTGCCGGAGGGATCGCGGGAGCGGCAACGGCACTAGTAATCTGTGGTTGTGGAATACTAGTCACTTGGTGCACTGCTTTAGCAGCAACATGTGGCGGATTTGCGTGCACCTCCATACCCTGTTTCACCTCACTAGAACCCCCAGATGTCAGCTGCTTCTTCTTATCTTTCATCTTCTTCTTGGCTTTCTTTTTCATCGATGCTTCCTCGGCGAGCTTTCGCATACGTTCCTGCATTTCGAAAAGCTGTTTCTCCAGCATTTTTAATTTCTGATTGCACTCCTCGTCCGATTCAGATTCTTCCTCACTAGCTTGCGATTCACTAGAAGACGAGGAGTCGGTCTCCTTACTCTGGTTAGGCGTAACATTATTTACCGGTTCATCCGGTATATTTGCCAGACGCATCTCAAACACATCTTGTAGTTTGCGACCCATAGCAACGACGTCATGATCTGGAGGGTTATATTTGTAGCAATTTGTAAATATAAGCCTAACATCAGCAGCAAATTCGTTTGCTGACTTGTATTCCCTATTATCCATTTTTCGTTTCACGGTGCCCAGATCCATTGGCTTCTTGATAATATCATGATAGTCGTGTAGACCAAGCAGTTCTGCGTCCACCGGTTTGTAGAACGGCCACGCGTATCCGGAGTGCTTCTTAGAAAACAGCTCTTTCAGGATTTCATTGCACGATTTGAGCGCATCCGAAAGTTTCTCCTTGTTCTTCGGTGGATTCTGAGCTGCGCCCGAGCCCTGATATGGCGAAATAGGATACGTCGATGTCTGGAATGGTGCAATTTCCTGTGTGGGATAATGAAAAATAAAAGAATGATTACTTTCTGTTCTATCTCCCATGCAAATGAACTATTCCGACAAATAGTAAGTGGTTGGAAGTACATATTATTGTAACTATTATAAACTAAAACAGTAAAGCGGAAGCATCTCTGAAGCGACGAGCCACTGTCCGCCTACCTTGTTAATTACCTGTCGTCCAGACTCCCGTCGGGTGGCGATTTTAGGATTGCTCGGGTCCAGGTTGGGGCCATAGTGTGGATCGTAGGCAGTTGCAGTGGGTGTGGTGGTATCGGCCTTTCTTTTAACACCTTTCTTGACTTTAGCAGGTTGCTGGGGAGGTAAGACCGTTTCAATTCCAGACTGTGAACTATTCACAATGTAGGGCGAAGTGGTCGGAGGAACCGGCTTCGTTGCCACGGGCGTTACCGGTGTTGCAAGAACATTGTGCGCTGCACTGACTACGGTCGGCGTTGCTGTTGTAGTTGTATTTGTGCTACCGGGCACGGTTTGGGGAGGTAGGGTACCAATAGGTGGCACACTTGGCACCACAGTCGGTGCCGTTGGAGCTGCATTAGTTGGCGGAACGCTTGAAGTAACTGCACTGCCAAGGGCAGAGCTAGGCCGTGCACGCGCCGCGACCGTCGCAACAGCTGTGGCGGGGACTGGTGGTGGTACTCCAACTGCAGCTACCGGCGCACTTCCGACTAGTGTTCCCGGAGGAGCAAGCTGACGGGCAGCTGGTTTTTTCTTCGTTCCCTTCGTTGCCGGGACATCCATTTCCACTTCATCCTTCGGCATTAGCGACACTTTGGTGAGAAACAGTTTCTCAAGGGTCTGAGCCATAACGACAACATCTTCGCCCGGTTTATTATACACGTAACAATTCGAGAACATAATATTGTAGTCTTGTATAGTCTCTTTACTAGTCCAGTAATAGTTGTTCTCTAACCGTTTCTTGATGGTGCCCAAATCCATCGGTTGTTTGATAATTTTGTGGTAGTCGGGAAGGTTCAGTTTTTTTGCATCCACTGGCTGTTGGAATGGCCATGAAAATTGATGCTTCCAGACGGCCTTCATTACCGTTTTCAGTAGGAAATGCAGTTGGTTGGTGAGTCGACCAGGCCGCTCCGGCGGTGGTACTACGGGAGGCTGAACGATGCCATTCACCGGTTCAACAACCGGTTCGTTACGTGGCGGCGGTTCATCCATCTTTTCCGACGATACTGGTGGTACAGGTGCCTACGATTTAGAGGAGCAGAAAAAAAAAACATGTCAACCTCGCATACATCATCAGTGATCAGAATTCGCAACAGTTAGTAAGTGACGCTCCGAAGTTAATAAAGGTAGATTATTTAGAACAAAATCAATTGGTACTTTTAAAAAAGCTCTATTAAGCAAAACATGAATTCTTTGAGCTTTTCAATCTTTTTTCAAAATTATGATTTGTTGTGCAAATTTACGAATCTATCTTTCCGAATAGTTCTTCGATTGTTTTTCCATGGATTTGCCGGATTAAATCCCGATATTGTAATGTTGTTCCTCGATTTCATTTCAATGTTTTAACGGATCTCCTATCCATTGTTGCATTCGATAATAACTTTTATAAGTGGTATCACATTTCTTGGAATGCCATTTTACGGAACGGTCCGCAAAATGCCCATTTTTAAGGAGATTTTTTGGGGCGTTATTTTTCACATAAAACTTTGCAATATTAAAAGCCAAAATATCAATGTTTTTGTGAATGCACGTAGCTGAAACCAATAGTACCAAAAGGACCCTACAAGGAAACACCTTAATGCTTCTATACATTTATTTGTAAATTCATTTAAATTTCACGCATTTTTTTTTAATAATCAAAAATTAATCCGATTTAGCCTTTTAACAAACAAAAGGATTTTATTTAATTGAAATAAACAAGCCTACGGCTAAAAATCTCATTAATAAAGATTTTAAAAAAAAAGCTCTTATTTAAGCAGATTTTTTTTTATCAAAACCTGATTTTAAAATCAGATAAATGTAACCCTTATAAAATTTGCATGATTTTTTTTTTTTTTTATTATGATACGGAGCAAGATTTTTTTAAAAGTAGTGTGATCTGTACTAATATAAATCTTAAAAACAAATTAAATCTTAAAAACAATTTTAATTTTTATGATTCTGAGGCTTTGACATATATGTAGAGTCTTGGCATATGTAATTTGTTAGAGATTTGTGACTTATGAAAATCTATCCTACCTTTAGAAGAAAACAACAGGATTTGATTTTTTTCCAACAATATGAACCTGAGAAAAATAGTCAAAATGCGGGATTTTCAATTTTTTTCTAGAACCCTGATTTAGAAAAAAAATCAAGATTTCAGATTTGTAAAAAATACAGTTGCTGGAAAATTGTGTGAAAATTCAAAAGTCTGAGAAGAATTCGAAGAATTCAACGGAGCTCTGACAAGAATACTAAATTAATTCTAGGATTGAGTCCTGACGAACTCTTAGAAGAATTACAAGGGAGTTGTGGGGATAACTTCAAGGAGAATTGTATGTGGAGTCAGGGGAGAATTTTAAGGAGAATTTAAGAAGAAACATAAACAGAATTTAAATGATTTTCGGATAATAATTTAAAAGGAATACTGAGCAAGATTCGCAAGACAACTTTAAGCAAGATCCGAGAAAAATGCCGAAGAAATCGTGTTCTGAGCTAAATAAAGAAAATGCTGAACAATATAAATTAATTTCTAAAGAAAGTTTAACGAAAATTCAGCACATCATTCCAAGCTATTCTGAGGGGAATTAAAAGGATTTCTGAGGAGAGTTCAAATAATTTCAAAGGTTCAAGATAATTAAGAGCTGAATAAATCATTTTTGAGCTGAAGAAACATATGTCAAGAGTCACATGTGAAAAGGGCATACAAGCTTTTTGTAAACAAACCTTTGTAGGCCCTCTTCTCGCCAACCGAGGATCGCTCACGCAAACTAACAACATCATCGGGAAGAGGAAACCTTCCCCTACCCAGAGATGTTGATGGTTTGCGTTGGTGTTATATGGGTGGCGAGAAAAGGGCATAATAATGTTTGTTTACAAAAAGCTTGTATGCCCTTTTCACATGTTGTTCTTGATGTTTGGTTGATTAAGCTCAAGCCGTTATTCAACTTTTAATTTGTGTTGGAATATGTTAGGGTTTATTGATTTTTCTCGATTCTCCCGTAAAATTCCCGGTTCGCTGGGCACCTTGGCCCATATTGTACGATATTTAAAAAAATCCCTTGAACCTAACAGAAGTGCGTCTCAAAGTCTTAAGACTTGTTCCCAAAATTCTTTAAGGCCACCTCAAAGGTGTCGTGTAAATCATTCAAGGAAATCCACCGGATCCATCCTGACTTCTCTTTGAACCTATAGGTGCCAAGCACGAAGCACTAAACGATTTTTCTTTTATCATTTCTCGATTACTTTTTCAAAGAGACGTATCTGCTTTTGTAAACAAAGACTCAAACGAATTTGTCGAAACTCTTAGCACTCCCACGCAAACTAACAACACCATCTTTTTAGGGCAATATTACCCTTTCTGATGATGGTGTTAGTTTGCGTAGGATTGACGTTTGAATATTTGTTTACAAAAGCAGATACCTCCCCTTGAAAAAGTAATAGAGATTAATAATGATCTACACACTTTTTTTCGCCGATACTTTAGGTCCAGGAAAATCGAGAAAATTTCCAACCTGATAGATATTCCAGAATGGACCGGGGCACTAACCCGGCGCCTCCGGCTTGGCAATACCGTACCTTTACTGATTAGGCTACCTGAGACACCATTTAGATTAAACCATACAAAAATCTAAACATAAACATTAAATTTGTTTCTGTGTACTGCTTGTAATTGAAAATGTTCTACCATTGAGCATCACCTACTAATCATTGCAAATCGTTATCACAAAACAGATGTCTTATAAACAAAATGACTTACAGGCGCCGCGCTCGGGGTGGTTGATCCTGATCCTTGTTGCATAGCGACTGTACTAAGCCTGAAACCAAATTCTTCACTGGCACATAAATCATAATAATCATCATTCCACATCTTCATTGACGAACTCGGGACATTGAGCATAAGCACGTATTCAAATGGCCAAAGCAAACATTGCACACTTTCAACAACAATGTAATATCCATTCTTTACAGCGATCGAACGTCATATATTGATTTTTCATCTCATATTCGGCGAGTTTCTCTGTGACACATTGCAGGGCTACGCTAAATCTGCATCATCATTTTGCTATGGAGACAAGATTGGCCGTCGCCAGTACTGGTAATTTTCGCCCAACTTTTGCACTGATGATTATCCATTTTGCTTTCGGACCTTCTACACAGACGTTCTCTTTTACAGTTTCTTAACCTATCAAACATCCTACACAGCTAAACCGACACACGAAAGGTAAAGTCGATGCACGGTGAGCACCACAGAGGTGAGCCGCGATATCGCATAAGAAAACCAGGAACCAACAAGTCTTGCTTCTTGCGTCGAGATCAATGTTCACTCAAGGTCAAGATCTTCGAATAAAAATTGAAATTCCAGTACGATCACGGCATTTTATAACAAGGTAACTATCCAAATTTGTACAACAATACTTAATTTTCATTTTTCCAATAACTTTACCCAGAAGGAATGCCTGTTACACGGCGAAAATGTACAATTTATATCCAATCTCTTAATTCTTGCGATGTAGCGTCTTTCCTTACATTCAACTACCGAAAGTATTCGAAAAATAAAACAAAACTAACATAGCCGTAATGGTATACTGATTTCATTCACACCACTGAAACACTTGAAGTAGTAGTAGAAAATAGTGCGAAGCGAAGGCAGCAAAATAACAGGCTCATTCTCTTGTTGGTGTGAGTTCTGCCGTAGATCCAGGCGTCCGCATCACAGACACAACAGACGTCATTTACGTCATCCTGCAAAGGGGAAACACTACGATTCTGAGCTTTTGGTTTGGTGTGAGTTTACTTTCTGTACCCTAGCATTATACCGTACACTTGCGTTGTACCTATCCGATGTGTGGCAAAAAGAGACAATCGATAACGGGTAATGATGTGAATGGAGAAAAGACACACGCTGGTTGTATGAATAACCCACCAGACCATTTTCAGCAGCCGGTGTGTCGAGGAAAATGTAAACGCGCGTCGAGGTGATTTAAAATGAGGAAAAAATCGACCAACACTTGATACTCATACTAGCATGCAATGAAGTTTTACTACAATGGGAAAGCATCGGAAAAGGCTATGTGAAAATGTAACTCTTTCCATCAGATGTCACTACATCCATATAGATTTACTCGAAAAATGATGAAAGAAAAAGCTTATCCGAAGATTGGCGTGTGAGTTGAACATTTTAAAATTTCCGCCTTGCAGTAAAGAATCATGATCGACTTTTGTATGCGTGAGGTACTTATACCAGCAGAGCCAGCCAACCAACCCATTTAGCAGAGGCAGCAAAAATTCCACCTGAAGGCACCCGCGTTTTTCGTCCGCTGAAACGCCAAAAGCGCGCGGTTTATTTCGACTGCCTCCATCATATCTTAACAGGTAGATGTGCAACTGCGCGCAGACGAACCGACAGAATACGGGTGACGCGCTCTCTCCGAGTTCAACGAAGCTGGGCCTCACACAGAGGTGGTATGTTGCTGCTGCTACGTGATGAGTGTACGCATTGAACTCGTTTTCATAGACAGACGCGGCTATTATGACCTACTTTCTTCATCACTGCGAAAATCGTGTACATTGTCAGAGTCCTTTTGTAATACCTATCATTTTATTTATTTTTCTTTTATCAGTGCAATAATTTGTTCGTCACAGCTCGCGTGGCTTTTATTCAATTCTATTGTTTATTATTCAATTATTCTATAACCTTTTAAAAATATATGCAACTTTTTTGAACCATACTTGACATTATTTTCAAAATAAACCAATGACGTGCCTCATGCTCTCATCCGAAGATTTCAACTAAGATGTGGAATCATTGTTGTATGTTGGGATCTACATACCGACTCAGGTCTCGCGAGGACGTACGCAATCAGCTGAGTATCATCACAAATCAATGGGATTCCGGAGAATGCTGAAAAGAAAAACCAAAAACCTCGAATTATTATTTGTAAACTCTCGCATTTAGGATAGACGATCTTTGAACCTCGGTTTCCTGCTTATCCTTCTAAAGGATTCCTAAAATAAAATTATACATTAGGTAAGCAATGACGTAGCACTTTTAATCATCGTTCCTGAGCCATGCCATCTGCACAACCACCCGTTCTAAGTATAATCGGTGGCAATATAATTGAAATAATAATTACTAGATAAGCGTCAAACATATAGCCGACGGTCGAGATTTGTAACGATATCATCACTGTTTTTGTTTTGGTTATTTTGTTCGCACACTCACTCGCAGTTCCGTTGAACCTTGAGAGCATGAGAGAAGAAATAAACTAGTAGCTAAAAGGGAAGGCTATTTAAATGTATGTTTACATTTTCTTTCCGACTTCGATGCCGGTTGCAACGTGCCGACGAACCTACGGCATCCGAAAGGCGTTGTATTATCTAACACAGTTTCACTTCATTACACACCGCCAACGGGATAATACATACTTCAAGTTTTTCTAGCAAATTGCGAACTTTACTTCTGTGAATGTATCATGTCCATGTAAAAAGTTCAGTGCACGTGATTAGTTTCCCCTTATCGACATTCTCTTTTTTTCATAAAGAATACACACAGCTTTGCTTTAAACAATGATAATTGAGCTCGTAGCTAATTTTCTCAGCTACAACTTTGTTCAAAACCACATTTCGACATAATGTAAGCATCAAAAGTTATTAATGATTCAAGTCACTAATGTCGTATGATTATGCTCAATCAACTGTTCAGCAGGCAACATTGGTGCTTCTGGAGCGTAGAATAGAGCACTAAAATCATGACTACTATGTCACACTGCAGCATACAGTGTTGCCCACAAAACAGTTGCTTGATCATGCCATAAGATTATAAATCTCTTAAACAATTAATAACTATTTTAATTGAAGTTTGGCTTAAAAAATTTATTCTGCAAAGTTGTAGCTGAGAAAATTTTCCATAAGAACTTTTGAACATTGCAATATAGAAAAAACTAGAAGAACCGTTTGGATTTTCCATAGTACACCACCGACGCGAAGTGGGTTGAAGCAACCCTGAGTACCGACCATACTTATTTCGCTGGATATCTTTTAGCAAAATATATACATTTTTGAACCATGGTATCTAAGGTTTATTATTCAACTAAGCCCGAATTTTCACTGCTCTGTTCTCCTGTTTTCGACGTATTTCACATTTAATGGTAATCGGAAATTTTTGTTTTATCGGAAGCTGAGATTCTAGACATAATTTTATGGTGGATATGTAAGTTAGGCGAGCGTGAAAAAAATCTGGAAGCTCTATATTGACACACACATGAACAGCTGTAATTTTTTAATTTTTATACAAAATGAGTCATTTGGTATAAAAATTAAAAAGTTACAACTGTTTATGTGTGAGCCATTTTGCACGAATATACCTTTCAGTTATGAGGGGGCACGCTATCGATCTCATCATCTCATTATGCCCGTAAGACCGAATTGAAAAGAGTGAGAGATCTAATTAAGAAATTGTTTTCGAAATCTTGAACTTGATGAGATCTAGAAAAAAAAATGATGGAGATCTCGGCGTAAAAATATGTTTGAAAACTTCGTAGTTTGTACTAAAAAAATGGGATTAAGAATATTTCCAAAATTCTGCAAAGCAGCATTAGACTATTTTTGATATTTTTTGTTTATACAAACTTCAAGATGTTGGATTGAAAACAAATAGATTTTTTTAAATATGGAAATGACAAAAATACTCAAAATATGGAAATTTGGAAAATTTATAAAATCCCAGATTTAAAAAAATCATTATTTTGGTCCTGGAAAATTTTCCAGAATCAACAACCTGGAAGAATGTTCATGGCTCCAACAATTTAAGAAACAACTATAGAATTATGAGGATAATTCAAAAGGAATTAACGGATTAATTGAAGAGAAATACTGAGAAGAATAACTTCAAAATTCTGACAAACATCCTGACCAGGATAATTCTGAGATATTATCCTAAATTTTTCTGGGATGAATTCCACAGACTTTCTAGGAAGAAGAAAGGAAGTTTTTAATTGATTTCCTAAGAACATCTTCGAACATGAACTTCAAGGAGTATTCCTAGATTATTCTCAGGAGAATTTGTATTATAAACAGAAACCAAAGGGTGCTCTGATAATAATTTCCAAAGAATTTTAATTTTACAATTATGTGGGATTCATCATCAGATGATGTTAGTGGAGACCGCATGAACCGAGGATGCGATATACCTAGCTGCGGTCCAATGCAAGAAAATTGGAGACCGAAAAATGTAGAGTGTATTAGTGAGGTAAATTAATTTTGTCGAAAGAAAAAAGGAAACAGGTTTCCGACTGGACTCGAACAACGAACGTTGCGATTATCAGACCTGTGCATTCTCCACTGCTCTCTCCATGCTTTTGAATAAGGATAGCCTAAAAGCAAACAAGAAGCGCTCATTTCCTCTCACACTCGACTTCGTATGCTTTTTCTGCTGGAGAGATTCGAGGCAAGGGTGTGCGTCGTTCTACCATGTTATACATTTTTTTTTAATTCTTTATTAAAGAGATTTTTAGCCTTAGGCTAGTTCGTCTCTAGCCATGTTATACATAAAAATCAAGGCAAATGCTTGCTTGTGTAGGTGAAAGCACAGACAGAACACGAAATAAAAAAAGGCAAAAAAACCATTACATCGCCTGCAAGGTCAACTTCTAACATTCGCTGCGATCGTCATGAACAGAGGATGATAGGAAATGGAACTAAAATTCATTGTAATAGATTTTTGGTTTGCGTGTAGTGGTAAGCGTAACTGCTTTCTAACACCCCGATGGGTCTGGGTTCAATTTCAGCCGAGGTCGGTGGGATTTTTCTGAGGCATAAAAATCTCTGGTCACGTCTTTCTTCGGAAGGGAAGTAAAGCCGTTGGTCCCGGCCCATGTGTATGTGTGTTGAATGGGTGCGAAATCCTACGCAGGTGTGGAAGCTGCCTTCCTGCACATTCGATTGCCGTCAATGGATGGCAATCGATGTCCGTCGGTGATTGGCACTAGATTGCGGAACAGAGACCGACGTTAAATAAAGGAAAAGAAAGCTCAGGAAGATTCCTGAGGAGAGTTTTGTATTCAAGTCTAAACTTTGAATTGAATCCTCAGAATAACATTAAAGGAATTCTATGGAGTAAATTCTTAGCGGAGTTCCAAAGAGAATTCCAAGGAGCATTTATTTATTTATTCGTCAATCAATCAAATTGTAGACTAACAGCGAGAAGAGTTACTAGGGTTTTTTTTTTTAAGTTTAAGGATAATCCCATGATTATTCTTGGCCGAATTTCAAGGTAATTATCTAAAAAAATATGACTTTGAATAGGTTAATATTGAAACATTTGGAAAAGTTGATAAAGTTAAAATCTTCATGTCTCAGGTTAGGATAGTTTTTAAGTTCCAGGTTGTTTCCCGGTGTTCACGGTTTTCCTGGATCACTGGCCACCCCACATTCATTCATACGGTGAATCATTTCAAATCCTGTATTCTTCTATGCAAATCTGTAATATAATCTTATATTTACCTATCGGATGTAAAAAAAGTCTTTGAAACGCTAAACATGCGGCTACAAACGGAATAATTTTGACCTTTAAATCGTCAGCAGGATTTAAGAAATTGAAGTCCCGGGTTTTCCCGACTTGCCATCATATTATTCTCAGTTTCATATAAAGAGCAAAATATGTTAAAAAAAAGAAAGACCAGTATGGTTGCTTTCAGCAAATGATATCACCGAAAAAAAAACACTTATTATAAATAAAATGGATTTTTAAAGTCCGAAATTTGATGTTTAAGATACAGTCCCACAATTTTGAAATTTGTCTGAGTTACATGTATTTTTTTACAGTTTTACATTATAGAAATTTTTGATAAAGGGTGATACGGTCAAAATTTGGTCAATATCAACTTGACGTATTTCTTTCAATTTTGCATTTAAAAAACCTGAACACTCCTCATTTTGAAGGTGTGTGTGTGTAGAATGTTGCTCCTATTTTGATTTTGGAATTCACTCTTCAGTTGTCAAAATGCCGTCCAAGCAAGAAGAGCAGCGTAAAAAAATTTTGCTCGCGCATCGCGAAAATCCGAGCTACTCGCACGCAAAGTTGGCAAAATCGCTAAAAGTTGCCAAATCAACCGTTACAAATGTAATTAAAGTGTTTGGGGAACGTTTGTCGACAGCCAGGAAGTCTGGATCGGGGGGAAATTGAAAACCGGAAGCCGCTGAGACGACAAAGAGAGTTGCCGGTAGTTTCAAGCTAAACCCTAACCTCTCTCTCCGAGATGCCGCTAATAAGCTGGGTGTATCGTCTACAACCGTGCATCGAGCCAAAAAACGAGCCGGACTATCGACTTACAAGAAGGTAGTGACTCCAAATCGCGATGATAAACAAAATACGACGGCCAAAGCGCGATCCCGGAGGCTGTACACGACGATGGTGACGAAGTTTGACTGCGTGGTAATGGACGACGAAACCTACGTCAAAGCCGACTACAAGCAGCTTCCGGGACAGGAGTTTTATACGGCAAAAGGAAGGGGAAAGGTAGCAGATGTTTTCAAGCACATGAAACTGTCAAAGTTCGCAAAGAAATATCTGGTTTGGCAAGCCATCTGTACCTGTGGCTTGAAAAGCAGCATTTTCATAGCTTCCGGGACTGTCAACCAAGAAATTTACGTGAAAGAGTGTTTGAATAAACGTCTGCTGCCTTTCCTGAAGAAACACGGTTGTTCCGTACTGTTTTGGCCGGATTTGGCATCTTGCCATTACGGTAAAAAGGCCATGGAGTGGTACGCCGCCAACAACGTGCAGGTGGTTCCCAAGGACAAGAACCCTCCCAACACGCCAGAGCTCCGCCCAATTGAGAAATACTGGGCTATTGTCAAGCGGAACCTAAAGAAGACCAAAAAAACTGCTAAGGGCGAGCAGCA